CCTGAGTCCGACCGCGAGCGAGCACGATCCTGCGAGGGAGCTTTGCTACTCCTCACACCCTTATCCAGCGCCCGAACCGTTGAACCCGAGCGGCTTGGCGCAGCCTCAGAGCCAGAACCTATACAGTCACATATAGTCAATAACGAGCGTGCTAGCATGACCTATAGCCACGCACCATCAACGTCCTCTCTTCCCTCTTCATCCTCTGCAGAGCCAGCACCACCATCTTCACCATCAGCACCTACAAACCGTTGAGCTCCCAGAACTCAAAGTCGAGCGCCCGACCCAAACAGACCAAGACATGACACCAAGTCACATCACGGTTGGAAGGGACGACCGCCGACTGAGATAGAACTCAATACTCACCTTGTAACGCCTCAGATTCCTTCTCCTTCTCCTTGCCCTTGCCCTTCTTGCCCTTGCCCTTCTTCTTCTTGTTCTTCTCGGAGTTCGTGGAGTGCAGGAGGTCGCGGTAAAATGTCGCGTCGAGCGAATCCGGAGGGACTTCTGCGACCCGATCGGCTTTCCACTGAACAGCCAGATCCGTCAAACCGCGCGGGCCTTTGAACAGACCCGCACCGTTGTAGACGTACGAGAGAAGGAGTCCTGTGACATCCTTCTCCAAGCGAGCAACCACGGGAGGCCTGGGGATAGGCCCTAGCTGCTGCCACATCTGAAAAGACGTCAACCTCTTACTCAGTGAAGAAAAAAGGATACCTACGGCAACTACATGATGGGCCTTCAGGAACGATTTGCCATTATACAACGGCTCCCCACAGAACAGAAGGAGCGGCGAGATCATGACCGCACACAGCATAGGCAGCGCGGACTCCGTGGACTTGCCACCTGCATCAAAGAGACCGACAGGACTAGCAACAATAAGTAACACAGCAGGACAGGTGAGAACACCGAAGCGACTCACAGGGCATAACCAGCCTTCTCAGCGCTAGCCCGGACCGCGGCATTCATGTGAAGTAGCACGCTGTCGGCACGGGCGCTACAATCCCCCTATATGACATTTAGCTGAAACGAAAGAAGGAACAGAAGTTAGAGCACTTACAAGAAGCACGTACTTCAAAGCGAGAACGGTGCATATCAGATTACATATGGCAACGCTCGTGATTGCGCTGCGACTGCTAGTGAGGAGCATCGCGAATATGCTCTCATCTTGGTCGCCCGGCGGCTCAGAAGTGACCGCATCGATCAACCGCGCAATCGCGATGTACCACGTATCGAGCATGGATTTGTAAGCCTGAGAGTTATATGTAAGGAGATACACAGCACATGAGAAGGAAACACATACCCGAACGGAATCGGTTGGCAGGGGCACGCGTGGAATTGAAGGCGCCGCCAACGGCCCAGATGTTCGATCCACCACTGACGCAGGCAGGACGTGCGACGCGACAAAGTCAAACGCAGAGAACATGACAAACGGCGACATCCATCGAGACACAGCGCTGGAATTGACGGTGGCGAAATACTCGCCCTGTCCCAGAACATCGAGCGGAGCATGCTGGGCTTTGTCCTCGGGAATCAAGAAGAGCCTGCGCGCTAGCACGCGCCGAGACTTATGGTCGACCTTGTTGCCGCAGAAGAACTCTCGCTCCCAAGAAGACAACAAGGACGCGCTCTCCTGTTCAAATGTTAACAAAAAACACAAGTCGACGGAAGATGGACATCACCTCTAGATATGGCATGTACGGGTTCTCCTGATCTCCCGCGTCGTACTGTGCGATTGCCGAGTCAAGAGGCTGAGGCGAGAGCAGTATGTGCGTCTTGAAAGGCAACCGCGACAAGAGCGCGCTTTGAACGCGCCAGGCAGGCAGAGGATGCTTGCGGATGCGTTCCACGAAAGCGTCGATGACCGGATTGCTGAAGACTTGCGTGTCGGCATAGCCAACACGTTCTTGGTACGGGATCGCAGAGGTTGAAGCCATTCCTGAGTGGGGAAAGCGAAGAGGATGAAGCCCGTGAACAGAAGAACTTTATAAAGAAGGGGTGGTTGTGGTTTAAGTCAACAAGCAACGCGCGACTTAGCCGCCACCGCGTGCGCGTGACCACGTTCAGATTAACCACGTACCCGCACGCGAGCCGGATCAAACAACAAGCGATCCCGATAGATAGTGCTAATCGCGATAGAGAAGCAGTGTCAGATCGAGTGCAACGCAGAGGGTAACGGAGCCTAATTCAACGCGATCAATTTCTTGCCTCGCCATCAACATGCCGCGGAAATATGCATCCGGCGATGCATAATGACCCGTTCACCTGCTACGGGTAGTGCCAGACTTACGCTCACGCGCATTAGCCGGCAAGGGAACACGTCGGCACCGCTAGCATACAGTAAACAAGCAGAAAAGAAGACCAAGATGAACTCAGCCGAAATGAAGCCAAGTTCCCACGACCCGTCGTGAGCTCGACCTCACGACGCGACCTCGGGCCGACGAGCCGAGAAGCCCAAACTCTAATGATACTAGCACTTTTGAACAGGATCGATGCAAAGCGGTCTACAACAATACATCCGATTTAATGATAAGTTCCCACGAGCCGTCGTGAGCTCGAGCGCACGACGCGGCTTCGGACCGGCAACCCGAATGCCCCAAACGCGGGTGACGCCAGGGCACAACGACGCGTACCTCAGACCCCCAACAGCATGGGCTGAGCAAAAAACCTGATCTGGCATTGCAGGACACAAGCATAAGGCGTACAAGAAGCCCAGTACGACTACAACAGTTCAGGCAGTCGTAACAAACTCACACACGGCACTATCGCTATCAAAGCGGATGTATTCCTTCGCAGAGAGCTTGATACGCTCACGAGTCTCCCGGAAAGTGGGGACGGCTAAATGACAAGATAATCAGCGCAGCACAGTACATTGAGCGAAAGAGCTGACAAAGAATAGCGTCCACAGGCTCATCAGAGTAGTGGCCAGTTATCCAAGCCTCCTGATCCGAACAACGGTTAAGAGCCTTCCTGAACCTGCAACGAGTTTTGATCAGTATGAAGTAGCTAGTAAAGGGACAGAAGACACACCTGCGACTAGCCTTCATAGCACCGCTGTCGAGAAGGCGAATCATATCCAGCTTGGTATAAACCCAGAACACCTCACACTACGGATATCATCAGTACAGGACCAAACCATATACAGATAGGATCATACCAGCTGGGGACACCCACTCTTAACTTCATCCTCCGGCTCAACCCAAGTGACTACAGCAAACCATACATCATCGCCGGCAGCGTTGACGGCAGGGGTAGGTTCCAGAACAACCCTGTAAGGCTGAGGTGAATGCGAACACAACGAAAGAAGAAGCAAAAGAAATCACAAAGAACCAGGTTTGATGAGACGGCCCTTACCGACGGGATTGCCGTCGATGTTGACCGACCTGGTAATAGGACTAAAAGGCACGCTGAAGAGGTCGACTGATGAGCCAGGCGAGCACAACAGACGCAACGCGATCATACCATTGAGCCTCGATTAGCTCATGCTTCGAAAAGTTGAGAGACATGGTAACCGGCGGGGAAGTCAAGGCTACAGAACTTGCCCGCCGGCGATACTTAAAGCAGAACGCCGAAGACAATCGACTGTGCATCAATCAGCAAGCCGAAGACCGAAGCCCGAGGATCGTCCCGACTGCCCAAGCCCCAATGATGAGTCACAAATCACCGATACCGCCTCGACCTTCGCGACAACAATCAATGCAGAGAACAGCCAACTCAGACTCGTAGAATTGAAAGTACATAGTAGGCATACCAGATTAGACACCGGGTCAGTTGCCGACATAACCGGAAAAGGCCGAGGCCGAATACACCTAACTCACTACCGAAGACGTACATAAATATGCACGCGGGACTACATATTTTAGATAGAACACAGCGAACATACACCTAAAGACAGATCTTAGACATACAGAACAGAGAAAAACAGCCGTGAGAAAGACAAACCAAATGCAGCCGGAAGTCGCGGCACGCGTCGATCGTGGGAACAAACTTCCTAAAGACGCGATACTTTCAGGTACGGCTCCCCAAGCTCCTTCACATCTCAAAACTTGGTAAATCAACGAGTCAGGGATGACTCGTAACCGTCACTTTGAAACTCGACTCCCTGTTGACTTGACTCGTGATCTGCACATCAAGTACTTTACTTCACACTTCACACTCACTCTGTACACCACCGTCTGTCCGGATACTTCCTTCACAGCGCAAGTCACGGTCGAAACACTTCACTTTACACTCCATCTCGCATCTCTACGCTTTCTTGCCCGTCGTAGCTAGCGCGTTCATATCTGTGACACATATCTTAGCCTTCACATAGCTAGCCCAACTCATATCCCTACCTGGTACGTGCCTTTCGCTCGTCGACACTTCACTCAACACCTTTCCTTCCTTTCGAATCTCAGTCAACTGAAATTGCACTCAAGCTCAGCCGGACACCAAGTGTTTCCCCTGTAAGCGAAGACCCGCTAGCTACTTACTTTACGGACTTCACCTCCTGGCGTTACCTGGCTGCGACTCTACCGTGCGCTCGTCGACTGCATACGGTCTCGACGATCTATTCGGGACCTTCCGCTGATCCCCGCCTGGCTACTTTATCTTGAAACACCACCCGCAATCACTCCTACGCTTTGCTAACACTCCGTGTACCGTTCGTGACAAGCCTGAGTACAAGTTCGCCTCAGGAAGCAACCGTCTCGTGTCGAAACTCCCCTTGTAGCACATTCATTACCACCCCGACCACCTACCGTCACTTTGAAACTCGACTCCCTGTTGACTTGACTCGTGATCTGCACATCA